CGAAGAGCTGGTGTCCGTAGACACCTCTATGGTCATGTGGCCAGCATGATGGAATGGAGCGCCGTTACCTTCCCACAGAAGTGGTACCTATTTATTCACTCACTTTTGCATATTTTTAAATTACTAGGTTGGCAGAAGCTGTGGCTAACAATGGGAGCTCACTCTCTCCTGCGGATTCAAACTGCAGACCTTCTAGTCAGCAAATTCTGCAGCTTAGCTCCCTGGATTCAAACTAGCAATCTGTCGGTCATAACTAGATACACACGTAACTAGATAGTTTAGAGATAGGACCCCAGTCTAAACATGAAATGCATTTACATTTCATATCCATAGCCTTGTGACTTTATACAATATTTTTCAGAATGTTGTGTATGAAAAAGTATGTGCATGCTAAACCATCAGAAAATGGAAGTGTCACTATCTCAACTACTCCTGTGGATGAATTTGGTGTACTTCTGATTTTGGAATTCCTGACATGGGATGCTCAATCTCTATATAAATGTAGCAAACAGCATTTTATTTATACAGGCTTATCAGATCAGTTCCCTTTCAGCATTTTAAAATGAGCTGCTTCATAAACTATTGTGATTACTGCACTCAACAGAGAAACAAAAAAGCTGCATCTTCTTTCTGCTTTATGTCCAGTGACAGATGTGGTTTCCTCCTTCTCGGTATCAGCAAGGGAGGTGATTTTTATAACTGCACGTCTCTGAGGTCTCTGCACAGGCTGTGTATAGCAACATGAACACACACATAAGTCATTTGCTTCAGGTTCATATGTTTGTGTGTGTACCTTCAAGTTGCCTATCAACTTATGGTAACCCCGTGAATTTCGTAAAATCACTTATGCAAAGGAATACCTAAACACTGTTTTTGGCTCACTTATAAACCACCAGTTCAAAAGAAATTAAAAGGTAAAGGTTTTCCCTGACTTTACATCTAGTTGTGTCCGTATCTGGGGAGTGGTACTCATTTCCATTTCTAAGCCAAAGAACGGCTGTTGTCCTTAGACACCTCCCAGGTCATATGGCTGCGTGACTGCATGGAACACAGTTACCTTCCCGCCAGAATGGTAGCTATTGATCTACTCACATTTGCTTGTTTTCAAACTGCTTGGTTGGCAGAAGCTGGGCCTAACAGCGGGAATCCACATCCTGGATTCGAACCTCCAACCTTTCAGTCAGCAAGTTCAGCAGCTGAGCTATTTAATCCACTGAGCCACAAGGGGGCCCAAACAAAAATTAGAATGGAGTAAAGATGCTGTATAGGTAGGAAATGCTAAGTCTCTAATGAAACCCCATATTTAATACAGAGTTCACAGTGAAAGATAAGAACCGCTCTTTCACTAGCATCTCTAACCTCGGATACATTTTCCATACACTATTTACACATGGAGATGATTATCAAGTTCCTGTCTGTGATAAGGGAGCAATAGGGTCACTTTGACCTAGGGTTTATCTAATTGCCATCATGTTTATGCTCTACAGTCACAAATATCCAATGTGGAGGAGACAATATTAAGGGCTTTGCAAAAGTTAGTGTCTTGAAGTTCCTATGACCCACACAATATACTATTTTGGTTAAGATTTTTGGGATATGCAGTCAAAAAAGCATCTGGAGGGCCACAACAAAAAAACTGTGATTCAAACTGAGCTTTGAAAGTTGCTTCAACTGTTTCATATTTCACAATTCATTTGGATTTTGAAAAATAAGCAGGTTACCTTGGAAGATACACTGTTTTTTAAACAAACACCACCAGCTTGGATATGAGTGTGAGCTTGGATATGAGAGTGAAAGAGATATGAAGGGAGAATCATGAACAAACTTAGCTTAAAGACACAGGGTGGATGGGGAAAGTTAGGTTTAATAGGTGCATATCATAAGTGATTTAAAGCAGACTCTCAGTTAACCAAGCAGTCATGGGGATTGATAAGATACTGACTGCTTGAGATTCACTATTAAAATAGGCCTAACGAAAACCACAGCCCATACTATATAGTACCATGAACTCTGCATTGTCTTGATATTATGGTTAACATACACAGTCAGGAAGTTCTTCATCATGTTCAGATGGCATCTCCTTTCTTGTCGTTCGATACCATTGTTCCATGTCCTAGTCTCCAGGCCAGCAGAAAACAAGCTTGCTCCCTCCTCCCTATGACTTACTCTCACATACTTATACATGGCTATCATGTCTCCTCTCAACCTTCTCTTCTTCAGAGATTTCATCTGAACATGAGGAAGAACTTTCTGACTGTAAGAGCTGTTCAGCAGTGGAACTCTCTGCCCCAGAGTGTGATGGACGCTTTTTCTTTGGAAGCTTTTAAGCAGAGGCTGGATGGCCATCTGTCAGGGGTGCTTTGAATGCAATTTTCCTGCTTCTTGGCAGGGGGTTGGACAGGATGGCCTGTGAGATCTCTTCCAACTCTATGATTCTATGATCTGGGGAGGCCCTGCTCTTGGTTCCGCCCCCATCGCAGTCACATTTGGTGGGGATGAGCTCTTTAAGCCACTCCTCATAGGACTTGTTCTCCAGACCCTTGATCCTTTTAGTTGCCCTCCTCTGGACACATTATAGATTGTCAACATCTCCCTTCAACTGTGGTGCCCAGAATTGGACACAATATTCCAGGTGTGGTCTTTAAGATGATCTTAAAGTCCTTGATGGTTCATAGGGAGAGACGTTCGGACAAGTAAAATGGGCCAGAGCTGTTTGGGGCTTTATAGGTCAAAACCAGCCCTTTGAATTGTGCTTGGAAGCTAATAGGCAGCTAGTGGAGCTGGAGTAAAAAGGGCGTTGTGCGCTCCCTGTACCCTGACTTCAACTCCCACCATTCCTAACAGCCTCAGGCCTCTTCCCCCTCTCCCCCCCCCCACAGCTGCTTAAATGGCTGAGGGAGGAAAGGAAGGGGGCCTGAGGCTGTTAGGAATGGTGGGAGTTGAAGTCCAAAACACCTGGAGGGCCCAAGTTTTATTTATTTATTTACGAAATTTATATACCGCCCTTCTCACCCCAAGGGAGACTCAGAGCAGCTTACTCTATATATATCATATTATTATATTGCATTAAATTATAAAATTTTATTTATTTATCATGTCAGGAGTAGACCAAACAGTTGTACTGCAATTTTTTTAACAAACAAACAAACCACAGAGTTTGCAAGCTTGGTAGTTGAATATTATAAATATTATATGTGTATACAATACATTATATTATATTACATTATATTATTAGTTTACCCGAGGGTTGGCTGCATAGACACCAGACGTGGGCCAACTTCTACCCTCCCTCCAGGTGTTTTGGACTTCAATTCCCACAGAGGAGAAAGCTCACAAGCTTTTGAGCTTCAAACTCCAGGTCTACTCACCTGCCCTTCTGTGGAGAGAATGGCTTTGGCTTATTAAGAGCATGGCTTGCAACCCACCACAAGCTAAAAGATGCTAACACGTCTTCCAAGGGTAAACACAGACTATGGACCCTTTTGTAGGTCCCAAGAACAACATCAGACAAGCCAGCAGAGAGGGAGAGGGATCTTTACATATGCAAGCAATTCTCCTGGCTGCTCCTTTTTGGGATGGAGAGGATCATAACAAGGGTGGGAATTGGGAAGCAAGGCGAAGGAGGTGAGGAAGGTCTCCTTTTCCACTTGGTGATCTTCCTTAAGGGAAAGGAAGGAGACCCCGAGTCCTGGCCAAGCAACCCCCTTTCCTCCCGCTTTACATATGCAAGCAATTCTCCTGGCTGCTCCTTTTTGGGATGGAGAGGATCAGAAGAAGGGTGGGAATTGGGAAGCAAGGCAAGGCAAAGGAGGTGAGGAAGGTCTCCTTTTCTACTTGGTGACTTTCCTTAAGGGAAAAGAAGGAGACCCCGAGTCCTGGCCAAGCAAGCCCCTTTCCTCCCCCCCTCCCCTTGCCCATGACTGATATAGATAGACAGTCAGAGGAGGAAGCTAAACCTTTTGAGCTTCAAACTCCAGGTCTGCTCATCTGCCCTTCTGTGGAGAGATGGCTTTGGCTTATTAGGAGCATGGCTTGCAACTCACACAGGCCAAAAGATGCTAGCAGGTCTTCTAAGGGTAAACACAGACTATGGACCCTTTTGTGGGTCCCAAGAACAACATCAGACAAACCAGCAGAGAGGGAGAGGGATCTTTACATATGCAAGCAATTCTCCTGACTGCTCCTTTTTGGGATGGAGAGGATCACAACAAGGGTGGGCATTGGGAAGCAAGGCCACTTGGTGACCCTTCCTTAAGGGAAAGGAAGGGGACCCCGAGTCCTGGCCAAGCAAGCCCCCTTTCCTCCCCCCTCCCCTTGCCCATGACTGATATAGATAGACAATCAGTGGAGGAAGCTAAACCTTTTGAGTTTTATACTCCAGGTCTGTTCATCTGCACTTTGGTTCATTAAGAGCATGGCATGGCTTACATCCCACACAAGCCAAAAAGATGCTAACAGGTCTTCCAAGGGTAAACACAGACCATGGACCCTTTCGTGAGTGCAAGAACAACATCAGACAAGCTAGCAGAGAGGGAGCTTTACATATGTAAGCTAAGCAACCCTCCTGGCTGCTCTTTTTTAGGGATGGAGAGGATCACAACATGGGTGCTGCTTGACAAAGAAAGTCTCCTTTTCCACCTGGTGACCTTCTTGAAGGGAAAGGAAGGCGACCCCGAGCCTTGGCCAAGCAAGCCCCCCTTTCCCCCTCCCCCGTCCCTCCCTCCCCTTGCACTCAAGGCTCACGCGCCAGCCTAAAAATAGGAGCCCGCCATGACCAAGAAGCGGCCGCCGGGGTCTCCCCAGACTGGAGGGAAGCGCGCGCGCACACAAACACGCACGAGCGCGCGCCCCGGGCTGAGCCACTTTCACTTCCTCTGCAGCCAAAGGAGGGAAAGCGGCGGCTCCCCAAATACGGAAGAGCCCGGAGCAGATGCTCCTTCCTCTTCGTCACGGGAGAAGCCGAGGCGGCCCTCTTCCCGGCGCTGCGCTCTTTGCCTTACCTGCCATGGCTCCGCTAACCCGGACCCCACCGGGCAGACGCTCCTCTCCCAACTGCTGTGGCTGTTCTGGCCCCTTCCTCTTCACCTTATAAAGGAGGGGCGGAGCCTGGCAGTGGGAGGGGCGGGGCTAGCAGGGTTGACCAAAAAGGGGGTGGACGCCCAGGGAAGGAGAGAGGAGGAGGAGGAGGAGGAGAGGAGGAGGAGGAGGAGGAGGGATGGGCGCGGCGCTCCTTGGAAGCGCGTCGCGGGGGAACCCAGTGCGGACGTGATGGCTCGAGAGGAGAGGGAAAAAGGCGCTGTCTCTTTAAGAGGGAGAAGAAGGCTTTGGGCGGCAGGTGAAGCCCTTGAGGAGCCCTGAGGATTGGCTGCATTGACACCAGGCATGGGCCAATTTCGGCCTCCCTCCAGGTGTTTTGGACTTCAACTCCCACAATTCCTAACAGCCTACTGGCTGTTAGGAATTGTGGGAGTTGAAGTCCAAAACACCTGGAGGGAGGGCTGAAGTCGCCCATGCCTGACCTACATTGTAGAATTAATTCAGTTTGACACCAGTATAGAATCTTTGGATTTGTAGTTTGGTGAGGCACCAGCACTCTTTGGCAGAAAAGCCGAAAGACTTTGTAAACCGGGTTGCTCTAAGTTTTTCGGGCTGTATGGCTATGTTCCAGAAGCATTCTCTCCTGACGTTTTGCCAACATTTATGCCAAGCATACTCAGAGATTGTGAGGTCTGTTGGAAACTTGGGAAATGGGGTTTATATATCTGTGGAACGTCCAGGGTGGGAGAAAGAACTTGTCTGTTGGAGGTAGGTGTGAATGTTTCAATTGGCCACCTTTATTAGCTTTTAATGGCCTAGCACAGTGTTTCTCAACCTGGGGGTCGGGACCCCTGAGGGGGTCGCGAGGGGGTGTCAGAGGGGTCGCCAAAGACCATAAGAAAACACAGTATTTTCTGATGGTCATGGGGATTCCATGTGGGAAGTTTGAGCCAATTCTATGGTTGGTGGAGTTCAGAATGTTCTTTGATTGTAATGAACTATACATCCCAGCAACTACAACTCCCAAAAGTCAAGGTCTATTTTCCCCGGACTCCACCAGTGTTCACATTTGGGCATATTGAGTATTCATGCCAAGTTGGGTCCAGATCCACCATTGCATGAGTCCACAGTGCTCTCTGGATATAGGTGAACTACAACTCCCAAACTCAAGGTCAATGCCCATCAAACCCTTCCAATGTTTTCCATTGGTCATGGGAGCCAAGTTTGGTTCAAATCCATCGCTGGTGGAGTTCAGAATGCTCTTTGATTATAAGTGAACTATAAATCCTAGCAACTACAACTCCCAAATTACAAAATCAATCCTTGCCCAACCCCACTAGCATTCACATTTGGGTGTATTGGGTATTTGTGCCCAGTTTGGTCCAGTGAATGAAAATGCATCCTGCATATCAGATATTTACATTATGATTTATAACAGTAGTAAAATGACTGTTATGAAGTAGCAACAAAAACAATATTATGGTTGGAGGTCACCACAACATGGGAGACTGTATTAAGGGGTCACGCCATTAGGAAGGTTGAGAACCACTGCAGGTTTCAAGGTGTGACTTCTTACTACCTGGGGGAATCCTTTGTTGAGAGCTGCCCTTGATTGTCTCTTGTCTGAAGTTCTCCTGTTTTTGAATGTTGTCCTTTATTTACTGTTACGATTGTAGAGGTTTTTAAAATTCTGGTAGCCAGATTTTGTTCATTTTCATGGTTTTCTCTTTTCTGTTGAAATTGTCCACATGCTTGTGGATTTCAATGGCTTCTCTGTGTAGTCTGACATGGTGGTTGTTAGAGTGGTCCAGCATTTCTGTATTCTCAAATAATATGCTGTGTCCAGCATGCTTTGTTTTCCCCTTTTTTGTATATATCAAAACATATATGTGAGTTATACTTTAATAAAAGTAGTCCTGCTTTCTAGTGAAATGGATGTGAACAAAGTTCCTGTGATTCACAATGCAAGGGTGTGTAACAGGATATCCAGACACTGTTAAACTATATCTCCCATAATCCTTCATCACTGCTGATGCTGCAGGGAGATGAAGATCAAATGTATCTTGAGAACCATACTCACCATCCTTTGTTGTAATATGTGCCAGCTTTACCTTCAGCTCAGGCTCAGCATCCCTCCTGCTTTGGTGAACATGCTGACTGGGGGATTTTGAGAGCTGTAGTCCCAAGAAGTCATTTTGCTAAGCAATGAGTTTTTGGGAACTTGAGGAAGGCAAAAATGTACACTCTCTGGTCATAGTGGCCTCAATCGCAGTCATCAGAAAGAGAAAAGGAGGAACCTCTCCCCAAAACATAAAAGAACACAGAATGACACACTGATCCAGACATGTCAGAACAGGACAAACATGTGACCTTTCAAAAATAATTATGACACATTTACCCCTGCTTATGTAAAGATCAAGGGAATTAACTAAATGTAATGCTTTTAATGGGTTGACACTGTATTATTGAGTTTTTAATTGTTGCGTTACATTTTTCAAAATGGGTTGCACTGGATGGTCTCTTTGAACTCTATATTCTATAATTCTGTGAAGTCAGCTAAGTGCGTTAAAATCTAACATCCATTTAATTAAGATATAATAATTTATTGCTGTGAGCCTTCAAGTTATTTCTGCCCAGTGGGTTTCCCTTGCTCAGTGGGAGTTTGAACCCTGATCTCTAGAGTCTCGAACCACTACGCCATGCTGGTCCTCAATAATAATAATAATAATAATAATAATAATAATATAATGAAATATTTTCTTTTTTTCTTCTTGTATGAGCAGGCCAACTGGTGAGAGTCATGGTTACATCATCAGAAAATATGAGAGATAAGATTAAGTTTTACCATCAGCTTAGTTCATGAGATCACCTCATTTGCTTCATAGGAAATCTGCTCCAAAACAGGAGCTTTTTTGTTGAATTCCAGACTCAGAGAAGCAGATGGCGAAAACAGAAGAACGGCTTGCCTCAGGGGAGCGTGCTTTCTCCATCAATGTATGTGTCTGTATAATATATTTCCCTGGTTACAAGGGACCTATAAACTCCTGTATGTTTACTATTTATTTAACAGTTGTGGGTCCATGGACCGTAATAAACTTCTTATCTAACATTTGCACAAATGATCAGTCACTGCCAGAAGTGACAGAGTTTTGCTGACAATCGTGCCATCACCGCTCAAGCAGGGAGCTTTGAGATGGTTGAACAGAAGCTCTCTGAATCTTTAGGTGGTCTTCCTGTCTATTACAGGGGAAACCAACTGATTCCTAATCCATCCAAAATGCAGAGGTGTGCTTTTCATCTTAAGAATAGACAAGTGTCTCGATCTCTGAGGATTACCTGGGAAGGAATCCCACTGGAGCACTGCAGTATACAGTATAAATAACTGGGAGTTACATTGGACCACTCTCTGACCTACAAGAAACACTACTTGACTATTAAGCAAAAAAGTGGGTGCTAAAAATAGTATCATATGAAAGCTGACTGGCACAACCTGGGGATCACAACCGTACACAGTGAAGACACCTGCCCTTGCGTTTTGCTACTCTGCTTCTGAGTATGCATGCCCAATGTGGGACACATTTCACCATGCTGAAAGAGTGGATGTGGCTCTTAATGAGACATACCGCATTATCACAGGATATCTACGCCCTACACCACTGGAGAAATTATACTGTTTAGCCACTATTGCATGACTTGACATCTACTAGGAAGTAGCAGCCAATAATGAAAGGACCAAGACAGTGACATCTCTGGCCCATCCCCTGTTTGGATATCAGCCAGCACGCTAACACCTTAAATCAAGAAATAGTTTTCTAAGATCTACAGAGATACAGGAACACTTCAGCAAGCAAGAGTCCAAAAGTGGCAGGCTAAAACCCAGAACCTCAACCCATGGCTGATACCAAATGAGAGACTCCCTCCTGGGCACACAGAAGACTGGGTGACTTGGAAGGCACTGAACAGACTGCGCTCTGGCACCATGAGATGCAGAGCCAACCTTAAGAATGGGTCCACAAAGTAGAGTCCACGACATGCAAGTGTGGAGAAGAGCAGACCACAGAGCACCTATTACAATGCAGTTTGAGCCCTGCCACATACACAATATAGCAACACCAGAGGCACTCCAAGTGGCCAGCTACTGGTCAAAGGACATTTAATATAATGCCAAGTTTTTTATACGTTGTGTTTTTAAAATACATTACAACTGTACCCTTCGTTTGCTCCTCATATGATAAATAAATATGAGATCCCCTGATGATCCCGAAAAACCTCTCACATGTTTTTTCTGCTTCTCTATTCCTCTTGGAGAAACTGAGAGTGGCTGTCTCCATCACCCTTTGTTCCTGCCCTATGGGTCCTTTCCCTGGTTCATCGTTGTTGAGAATGTTCTTCTTCAGTCTTGAATGAGACCACTTGGAGCTGTTACCAATACAGCTAAATCTAGAAACAAAGAGATGCTGGAGGAGATAACTGACTATATCACTTCAGTAACCTCCCCGTAAGCACTGTGATGGAGTGCAGGTGACATTCTTGCACCAGATTGCAGGACAGAGCAGTCAGTGAGAAAAGCTTCACTCCTCCCCCTACACATCACACCACCTTGGTGTTTTCCTTATACAGTCAGGCTGGAGACATGCTGTCTGGCTATTCCCCTGCTTAGTATAAATCTCTGGTTTTCCAAAGAGGTCCAAAGTGCTTCACACTGTGCTGTTCTGCTCCAGAATTCAACTAGGCCAATATAATCAGACCCGAAGCTAATGTAGAATGGTCTGAATCAGCTTTGTTTTTTTCAGGATTTGGTTGAATAATTTCTGTCGCCCTAGTTCATAATATATTTTGCCTTGTAGTCATTAACAGCAATATATTCTCTAGATATTTCATAGAAACACCTATTTAACTTCCCATGTTGACAGACAAGGAAAAAATGATGATGAAAGATGCTTAACAGTGAACATTGCCATTTGTAAACTTTAGCTGTTTGCTCATTGTTCTGTATAGGAATAATCAATTTTATCTTACAGATGAGGACAATAAACAACCATTATTCCAGTCATCAATCTAATGATGTTA